CTACTGGGTTAACTTCTTCTTCTTCTTCGGGTATGCAGACTGTTGTTTCCTTGCCTCTCAGGCAGATGCACTCTGACTTCAAAGGAATCTCCCAATTAGTTTACTCTTAGGACATGCTTTAGGGTAGGCAGTGGGTCTATTCTTGTGTTCCCTACAATAGGTCCTGGAACCCACACACAAGGGAGGGGCGACAGTTGTGAGATGCCACTTTCATTTGGACTCTGTGTCCCTCCCCACCTAAATTGTGCCCATGGCGTATTGTTTGAACTAAAATTATGGGTGATCCATTCAGTTCAGAATAGAGATGTTTTTTTTTTTTCTGTTTAGGTGTTTCTTCTCAGACGCTCAGCTCTCATCCTTTCTGCAATCGTTTCTTCCCTTATTCTCATTCCCCTCCTGATGTGCTCACACAACACGGTCCCATAACATTTTGCTCCTTAACATCTGTATCATTCATGTCCTGTCTGCACACACATTCATATTGTAGTAGAGGTTGACCTCTCTATATTCTACCCATCTCTAATTCACCATATAGGATGTCCTTCGGGACCCTGCCATCCTCCATGTGTGACTCGGCCAACTGAGCCTTTGTAGACTAAGCATTGAAAAAACTTGTAATTCCCGCTCTTTCAAATACCTCAGCCTTTAGGATCTTGTCCTGTCTTAAAGCCAGAGCGTTACTGCCTCTCCATACCATTGTGAAAATCAACACAAAGCAGTCTGCTGGCTAACCACCTGAATCAAACTGGTTATTTCGAAATTAAAAACATAATCCCTGAATGGGTTCCAGTGCCACCCTAACAAGCATGTCGTTAAAAAAAAAGTGACTAATTAGGGATTTCTCCTCTGAAGTGGCAAAGAACCAACAGTCTGCATACAAGTAAGCAGATGTGTAAAAAGGATGTGCATGCAAAATTAGGTTTCGGAACAAGACTGAAGTCCAGAAGTGGACGAACAGCCAGAACATTCCGTCGGAGTTCACAACCAGTGAACGCTAAGAAGAAAAAGTAACCCATAAGTGACTACGTCTAGGGTGTTATCGCCAAAAAATATGGATACATTTTCTTTTAAAAAAAACACACTTTTATTAAAATACATTGACATTTAATATTTCAAGTTAAAGAAAACAAGTTGATGGAAGTCCTTCACTGCTCCACCCGCTCTGAACTTGTCTCTGATGGTGAGTCCCATCTGTTGATCTCTTTGAAACATTCCACTCTCTCCCTCTCCCGTTGCACTTCACCGATGTTCTTACACCCCTTTAAATAACTGTTCTTTTCTCACATCTTCGGCTTGCTTCTCTAAGTACCATCACATCAGAATCAATGTCCTCTTCTCAAATCTTAGTCTTGTTTCTGTCAGTATCATCATCATCATGTGCTCTGCCAAGCAGCGCGGATGATTGTGTTTTTCCACAGATCTCGGTACTTGATGTTTCAAATCAATTCCACTGAAGATATTGCATCATACCATCACTTCAAGCCATTCAGCATTGTCTCTCTCTGGTCTGCCACTGCCAACGCTGATCTCTACAGTTATCAGGATGTTCTCTAACTCCTCTAAGATCATCACATGATCAAAGAAAACTTACTGGCTCTTTCTTAAAGTTGTAGTTTTTTTTTTTTTCATTTTTGTCAGTATCCTTTTAAAATAAATCCCCCCCCCCTTCCCCAAATCTCTGCACCGGACTCTAGTTTGGTAGACCCATGTTTGATTCCTCTGTAAGTTGTTAGAATTTTTCGGTCAAGGGCAACAAAAAAAAAAAAATTACTATTTACTAACCAACGTCATTCTTGAAAACTGCACAAGTCGTGTGGCTCTAAACTCCACAGCTAACAATTACCTATCCGGTCGAACCATAACTTAAAATAAAGTGGTACACAACTGTCACTACTGTCTGTTTTGAACACATGTTAGGGCAGTGTAGACAGGGGTTTGGGGCGTGTCTAAAGCTTGAGGATTTAGGGCCGCATGGCTAGTGCTGTCGCTATGGGCTGTGAAGGTCTGGTTGTTTATTTTTGCCGCAACAGAAAATCTCCATACATTACTGGGGGTAAAACTCGGGTCACCCAAATGAGAGACTAACGTTGTCAACAAGTGGTACATGAGCAATAAAAAGGTGTCTCCCCCCTCACCTCCCCCAATCTTAGATTTGCGCTGATTGTACCTATGTAAAATAAATTTTCTTTTCTTTGTATCTTTAAAAAATGTTCATATTTGGGAGACTCTTGTTCGATCCTAACAAAATTTTATTCCTAAAGACTGCAAGATCTGTGGCAACTTCATTGGTATAGGACCCTCAGTCTGCATGTTAAAAATCACTGTGCCTCAGATATTAATGTTCTTTCCTAGCCAGATTTCTGCAGTTCGCTTTGACCAAATGGGACAAAGCAAGAGAACACATTACGTGATGGCTGTGTCCCATGTCACAATATGGAGTGGCTGTGAGTGGAATATTTGACGATTCATACGTCAGAAGAACAGTAAAAAAAAATTTTAAACATGATAATCTAAAATTAAGAAATAATTAAAGAATACAAGAAAACAAATTATCAGCAAAGAAAACAGTTGCTGATTGTTAAAAAAAAAAATTAAAAGTGATGTAAAAATTATAAAAAAAACTGTGTACACATAAATTTAGCAGTTTGTAAAAATGATATTAAGTTAACCCTGTTGCTCCAAGAAAGCCTGTTTTCACTTTTACAGGTTTTTAATGACATGATATCTTTGGGCGGTGGACACTAACTCTACATAACAGCTGTAGTAGTGGTTGTAACTGCTTAATGCAGGGGTTCTCAACCTTCCTAATGTCGCGACCCTTTAATACAGTTCCTCATGTGGCGACCCCAACCACAAATTTATTTCCAATGCTACCTCAAAACTTCAGTGAATACCTGTTTTTAGGCAACCCCTGTGAGTGCCCCAACCATTGCAGTCTGTGTCTTCATGATGCAGGTCAGAGAACAGACAAAGTGAGAGACTGGTCATTCAGGCTGAGAAATGGGGTGGGGAGGGAGTAAGAATCAACCCCTCCCCCCCCCCCCACATGCTGTAAAAGGTGACAAATTAGGGGAGTTTCCTACAAAGTTGAAGTGTATCTGCCTGAGAGGTGAGGAACCAATAGTCTGCATACAAATAAGGAGGGGGAAAATGGGGGAGGGGGGGGGTGAAGTGTGGGGGGGGGGGGGGGGTGACCTCTGCAAAACCTCATTAATTTGAAAGTTAAAGTTAAAGGTGAGAGAGGATTCACTTCACTGCACTGGGTCTTAAAGCAGATGGCTCTGCCTCTCTCTGCAGAATGGCTGGCTGCCTACTAAGATGAGATCACACAAATCATGAACTCGACAGCTTCAATAAAAATCCCCAGGGATCTCCATAAAATTGCACCTTGTGAACTGAACCGTGCAGCCATGAAATGAACCCACGACCCTCAGAGCGTGAGGCAAATGGCTTGACTACTCCACAATGGCAACCTGTGCGTACAAGCGTGTGTTTGCGTATCTCTCTCTTGAAACAGATATCTAAGACTAAGAAATGAAGGAATTTATACCCACAAATATAAAATTTAAAACTAAAAAAACAACTAAAATGCATTGGGAAAAAAAGTGAATAAAGTGCTATATAGAACTCAGTGCTGTATGCATGTGGATCATGGACAGTAAGCAGACAAATTGAGAAACATATTCAGTGCAGACCTGATAAGGAGAACTCATCAGGAACCCAGGAAATGTTCTTTCTTATCCGAAATTCCTTTTACCCAGATAAGAGTTCAAGCAACAACAACAACAAATTGCTGCGGCAAAACAGATTGTTCTTTACAACAGAAATATGCCCCATCTGAGATCACCTGAATGTGGTCTGCACAATAATGGCAGCAGAAATTAGTGTTTGAAGAAATTACAAAGAATACTTTGGAAAGGCAGTCATAAAAGAGACGATGCAGACCTGCAAGATTTAGATAAAAGTTAATTCTAGATGGAGAAATGAAAAATAACATTCTCAACTGCAAAACTAGAGTCTGCTGAGCCTGAAGTGACATCTCTTCTTCCTTCGGGATTCTTGTTTTTGCCAATGGTGTTTTAGGCATATTCTGCCAGAGGTTTGACAATGCACTCTTAAACAGCCAGAGCTCCATATCATGCCGAGATCAATGTAGTGTTTGTCTCACCCTATATAAAACTAGCTGCAAAATTCAGCAAATCATGAACAAGTCTTTCCCATTAGGAACTGGAGTCAAATTTTCAGGAAAGGGGGAGGGGGGTGGGAAGACAAGAATAGGCCGCCTGCCCCCCTAACAAGCATGTTGTAAAAGGCCACTAATTATGGGGTGTTTCCTTTGAAGTTGGAGTACATCTGTCTGAAAGGTTAGGAACCAATAGTCTGCATACCAATAAGGATGATCTGTAAAGGGAATTTTCAAGCAAAACTTGAGTTCTTAATTAAACAACAGCAAAGTCCAGAAATGGACAAAACAACTAGAACCTTACACCGGAGTTTACAGCCAGTGAACCCTGAGAAGAAGAATTCTGCAAAGAGTTTGGAATGCCATAATTGAGCAAGTGCGCTCCATCCGAAAGTACAGGTGGTCCATTAACAGTTAAAGCTGATGGAGAGTTCAGTTCTAGACCTTAAAATGTTCAAACCCATTTAAAAAATAAGGTGAGAGGCCAATTCTCTACCTCATTACCTTGACTTCTCCCAACTCTTTAGACTGGATGTTAACAAGCAAAGCAAGAGAAGGAGGAAGATGAGGAGTAGAAGAATATCTACATGACTCAGAACATGCATTCTAATCATAGCTTTCAGCATTTAAAAAAACATGTGATGGAATCAACCTCAGAAAAATGTTTTAACAAAGAGGCATTATGTGCAAACTTTAAAGGTGACTTGTGTCTAACAAATTTTGTAATGTACAAAACTGTAAACCCAATTTCCGATGTTAAAATGTACAAAAACTGTAACCCTAATTTCCGAAGTAACTCCCATCTTTCTATGTTACTCTAGTCTCTTCTGTCGGCAATATGATCACCACTGGCAGATATACTGTTGGCACCGGCGAATGGCTGGGTGGTGACGACATCATCGGTTTCTTCATTGTCCTCATCACCCTGTGTTTCTGACTTGTTCAATCCTGGCTGTGATGTTACTGGTGCATCTGTATTGTTGCCATCATTCTAGATTGTGGTGTTAAAATATTAAGAAGGTATAAATATATTTCTCCATAATAATCTTGAAGAAAAAACTCAGAATATACAACAGCAACATTTTAGGAATATTACAAATACTGAATACTGAGTGGGAACTGCAAATAAACTAGACTTTTCAAAATTAATGTCTAAGAAAAATTCTGCAAAAAATGTTGACCAAATAAGATCACAAACAAAGAATTCAGCAGGAAAATTTACTGCACATTTTTGGCAGACGTTATCAAAGAAAGATGATGAGATGGCTTAGACATGCTTGCAGAATGCCTTGTGAGACAGCGCCAAGAGTAGTTCTCTGGTGGATGGCAGATGTCAAAAGAAGACATGGATGACCTAAGAAAACCTGGAGAAGGACATCATCATTGCCCGGTTGTGCCATTATGTCACATATTGTTCATAGTCTATTTCTTCATCCTGTTCCATCCACTGCAATCAATTCAATATCATGGATGGGATCCAGTCCAGCAGCTTTAGCCTCTCTCATCAAACGTTCATTTTATGGGTTTTCTTGGGGCCCCTCAATCCCTTATAACACATTTAAGAGCCTGTTTGTGATTCTCTGCACATTTCTTCTCAGGATGTGTCCAATGAAGCGCCAATTTTGTTTTTTTTATAACCTACTGTTACCAGGGGTTGCCCAGACATTTCTCTTATTCCTTCACTCTTCTTTATTTAATTCATTTTCCTCAGACTTTAGAAAGAGAGACGAAAATTTAAAACGTTTTCCTCAATGGAGACATTTTTTTAAGAGATCGAAAGAGAGATGATTTAGCAAGGTTTTGTTAACAGACAAGGGGGTACCATAGTGCTCCGGTAGCACAGTGCAGAACTCTGGAGCGAGTGGAGGTAATTTTTGCCCGAGGATGGGCGTCCGATCTCACTACCCAGAGAGAAAGAAGTCCAAGTCCACGTGAAAGACGAGCTCTTACCACTCGAGGAGCGGATACCTCGAGACCACGCAGCTCCCTTGGCCACAAAAGGAGGAGGAGAACAGTATTGAGGATTACGATTCCTGGAAGAAAAGGTGAGGAGCATGATGGCGACAGGATATGATGAAAAGCAGAGCAAGAAAGAGGAGGGGGAGAAAAGGAGGAGGAGGAGAAAGCAGAAAAAAAAAGGAGGAAAAAGAAAGTGGAGGAGAAGAAGGAGACGAAGAACTACAAAAAACAAAAATATAATCAAAGTTTTTAGCACAAAAGAAAAAGAAGATGATGGGACCAGCTTTGGAAAAAATGTTTCAACAAAGAAACATTATGTGCAAAAACTGACAGATGATATAATGGCTTTTTCTTCCTAAAAAACATGCTTCAATACTCACCACAAAGTGGCTTAAAACAGTGTCAGTTCTCACCATAATGTGTCCATTACGGTAAAGTTAAGAGGGGAGGGGGGGGGGGGGGGGGGGTGGGATTGATGCTAAAAAAAAAAAGGGGGCCCCAGCACCGTGGGGTACTACCAGAAAAAAGCCCTGCATGACATACATTAAGGCTACCCTCTGCTTGAAAATTCACAAGGCGGGAAAGTCGGTTGGGGACTGGGTGGTTTTCATGTATGATGAGGGTGATGTTCTGTAAAAGGACCTTCTACATGATGATGATGATGAACTATGATGATGATCTATATTTTACACACTAATTAAACACTTAGTGATGTGGTCATCATCAGGCTGGCTGCATTTACTTCCCATGACTTTACGTGGTACCCATTTCAGGCTGAGTCTCCCAGGACTTTACGTGGTACCCATTTCAGGCTGAGTCTCCCAGGACTTTACGTGGTACCCATTTCAGGCTGAGTCTCCCAGGACTTTACGTGGTACCCATTTCAGGCTGGGTCTCCCAGGACTTTACGTGGTACCCATTTCAGGCTGGGTCTCCCAGGACTTTACGTGGTACCCATTTTAGGCTGGGTCAAACTGGGAGCCAAGGTCATTTTTAAAAAAAAAACAGTCCAGCTCTGTCATCACCTCAACCCACGAACTTCCAATCCACATTCGATTGTCTAGCCATTACACCAGGGCAGTTCGTAACACATCTATGACTCACCTGTAAATTTTGTAATATTTCATCTTCCTCTGGTAGCTGCGGTCGACATTTCCCACAACAGCAATTACAGCACATGCAACAGCAGCAGCAACAGCAGCATCCAGTGATGATGCCACAGAAAATTATCAGGGCCTACATGTGAAGAAATTGACAAGAATTCCTTTCATTTTTAAGTGTCACAAAGAGATAGACTGTGGAGAGATAACATACAGGCAGATCCACAAACCTTAGTCAGTCAGTTAATTTAGTTAATCAGTCAGTCAGTTAGTTCATTAGTTAATGTCAGTCAGTCAGTTTAGCTTATCTTAGTTACTTTAGGTAGTTAGCTAATTTAGTTAGTTTAGTTTAGTTAGTTTAGTTTAGTTAGTTAGATTAGTTAGTTAGTTTAGTTAGTTTAGTTAGTTTAGTTAGTTTAGTTAAGTTCGTTAGTTTAGTTTGTTTAGTTAGTTAGTTTAGTTAGTCAGTTATTTTAGTTAGTTTGTTAGTTGGTTAGTTAGTTAGCTAGTTAGTAAACTGATTATCCTCACTGTGCACATCAAATCATTCAGTCCATAAGTGCTCAGATCCCCACCTCAGTAAATCCTGCTGCATGCAGAGCTGATGACACCAGTCCTGCTTTGGTTTCTTATTCTTCTTTGGCATCCTGCAAAGTGCTCTTGTCTGGCCATACCCCCTTTTTTTTAAATGTTGCTCTGTTGCAGTCTGGTCATGGCTGCAGATTCAGTCATCACTTGGTTCTTGTCTCACTTCTCGTAGAGCATTCAGTATATCAGCATGGTTCATGGCATGTCTGCCCGCCATGGTAGCTTTATCTACAAGCCTATCAGCCTGCTCTTTTCCTTGCATCTGAGTGCCCTGGCACGAATATGAAACTGATATACTTCAGCCCCGACCACCTCAGAGACTCCACCACTGTCTTCGAATCCAAACCATCTCTATTTTCCTGAGCATGCTTATTGAATCACAGAGGAAATATGTGTGGGTAAACCCTTGAAGTCAACAACTGGAAAGAGAAGATCAGTCACAAAGCATAACAGGGGTAGATAATATCTGTGGCAATAAACCCTATGGCTCGGAATGCTAAAGAAGAAAAAGAAGTGTCACAAAGAAACAGAGATCTTCCTCCACCTAGCGTTCATTGGCTATAAACTTCGACGGAAAGTTCTGGTTGTTTGTCCACTTCTGGACTTTGGTTCTGTTCCAGAACTTGAGTCCTTCATGCATGACCGTTTAACAGATCTGGCTTATCTGTATGTAAACTGTTGGTTCCTCGCCTCTCAGCCCTTTGCCTTCAAAGGAAACATCTCAAATTAATCGCCTTGTACGACAGGCTTGTCAGGGGGCAGTGGGTCTATTCCCCCCCCCCCAGGAACCCATACGAGGAATAGCGGAGATATAATATTCAGGCAGACCTACAAACATTTAGGGTCACCGACAGAAAAGAGAAGGTCAATTACAGAAAAGAACAGGGGCAATGATATTTTCAAATCTGCAACAATGAACCTCAATGGCTCGGAATGCTGAAAAAGACACAGAAGTGTCACAAAGAAACTAAAGAGGTAATTTAGAGGCAGATTCGACTGCAGCAAACAATTTGCTTCTTATGATGGCAGTGGTCTATCCTCTCCTCCCCTTCCTCAAAAGAGGCTTCAGAACCCATACAGGTAAGTTCAGAATAGATTCAATCAATTTAAAAATCTTTTCTTGAATAACTATCATTTATTTTTTGCATTTTCCTCAGGAAAATACATTTCCGCAGAAATGTAATGTCTCTAAGCCTGCGAATAATGGTGCCAACTTCTTCACATCTATTGGCTAGAAGCTTAGAAACTTATTTGTTTGCAGACTACTGGTTCCTCGCCTCTCATGCGGATGCATTCCGATTTAGAAACACTGATTATCAGTCAACTTTTATTTTTTGCTTATTAGGATGGCAGTGGGTCTAGTCGTCTTACCCCTCCCCAACAACACGGCCCAGGAACCCACATGGAGAGCATGGCAAAGTGACATGTACTGATTCGTCCTCATAAACGTATGGGAAACGAAGTACAGATATGAGAACACATTAGACAACATAAAAATCAAAAGCTACAGCTTCGACGTACTTTGCACCAGGGACTTGTCAGCACCAGATATGTGTTCACATTGTCATCGCCCACTTGGTCAGCTATGTATATCCCCATGGAGCCGTACTGGTCGTATATCGTCCGTTTTGTCTCATCCATTAGGATCATGTTGGCTCGATTAATTTCTTTAAACTGAAAAATAAAATCGTTACATAAACTGTTAATATGAAAACACTAAAGCAGTGATATTTATTCTTCTTCTTTTGAATCTTCTCTATTCCTGGTTCTGTCTTTCAGGGTCAGATTTTGAAAAGGTATCTTATGCAAACCATGGTATGAGCTATGTAGATGTTGGTATTCACTGCCTCAGATGTTCAATCTATCCACTGCTCGTGTGGGCAACCTCTAGCTCTTGCTTCTGTTGTGTCTCATAGGGTTCTTTGTGGTGTTCTACCCTGAGGCAGTCTTGACACATGTCCAAACCATTTGATCTGTTGTCTCCTGATGTAGTTTAGTACTGGTACTGTCCCAACTTGTTTCTGACACTGTCATTTCTGATTCTTTTTCTTCTTTTTTATAGTTATTCTTCTTAACATTCAATTACTGTAAACTCTGGCAGAAAGTTCATGTTGTTCATCCCCTTCTGGACTTTGGCCCTCTTCCAAAACACATTTTGCATGCACAACCATTTTACATCTCTAGCTTATCTGTATACAGACTGTTGGTTCATTGCCTCTCAGGCAAACAAATTCCAATTTCGAAGGAATCAACCCTAATTAGTAGCCCTTTAAGACATGTTTGTGAGATGGCAGTGGGTCTACTTTTCCCCCAAACATAGGTACCCTGAACAATCACAGGGAAGTTTAGGATTCATTGTAGACATTTCCTTTCTGTTATTTCGATGTTTCCTAGTTGAAAATCTGAACACATGCCAAACGGAAACTCACTGTAGCATGAAGCTGACAAGACTCTGTGAAATATCATCATCACCATCATGTTCTGCCATTATACATTCCCATAGGTTCACTGTTTAAAATTCCCTTCTATCCTGTGCAATTATTTCAATACCATGGATGGAATCCAGTCTCGCACCCTTGGCCCCTCTCATTAAAGTTCACCTTAGGGGGCTGCGTGGTCTCAAGGCATGGTGACCACCTCAAGTGCTAGAGGTTCGGGGTTCATTCCCCGGTAAGGGCTAGGATTTATTTTTTACGTGGACTTGAACTTCTAGTAATTCCCCCTAGTCTCTGGGTAGTGAGACTGGATGCCCGTGTGCATTGTTGCACTCGTAGAAAATCCCTTGGCAGTTGGAAATTAAAAAAAGTAGCCTAACGGCGCTGCCCTGGCAAGATTTGGAGTTAAAAACCTACCCAAAGTATTTCAGGATCCTTGCCGGTGCTACAGAGCATGTGCAATGTGCTGAGCTTCTTCAGACTCAGACTTGAGTTAGAAAAAGAATGGAGCACGTATGGGTTACTACTCGTGTTTCATGATGTTGGCCCGTTGTTCAAACTTCATTTAAGTTCACCTTAGGATTTCTTATGGACATCCTCACAGTCAATTTGGACTGAAATATGCCAGGCATTGAATGGTGCAATCTACTGTTTGCGACTTCTCTGTTCAGACATGACAGTTATGAATATGCTGATTAGTCTTGGCAGTTATTTCTCTATTTACTCTTCTTCTTCTTCATTCACAGCTGTAAACTCTGGCGGAAAGTACTGGCTGTTCCTCCCCTTCAATCTGGTCTTGTTCCACTGCATGAGTGTTGTGTGCAATACAGTCTATCCTGTACAGTTATTTCATTAATGGAATCCAGCCTGACACTCTTGGCTTCTCTTAGCGACGTTCACCTTAGGATTTCTCATAAGTAAAGATCCCTTTTCACTATTTTAGGTGCAACGGGCATATGGGAAGAGCACCCATATTTTTACAGACCAATTGGCACTAGGTGGGTAGTGTAGTCAGCATTATGCCGGCCATTTTTACTTCCCGGGGACATCCATCCTGGTACCCATTTTAGGCGACGCCCCAAACCATAAAAAAAAAATACACTGCAGCCAACAGTGGGTTTCGATCGCGGCACGTTGGAATTACGAGTCAGACTCGCAATGCCTAAGCCATGGACGCTGCTAGGATTTCTCTTGGACATTGTTATTTCACAAATCCATTTACATTTGGATTAAAATATGACAGACATTAAATGGTACCAGCTTCTGTTTGTAACTTGTTCAAACATGACAGGAATCTGCTGATTAGTGTCAGTAGTTATTCTCTGTCGGCTCTGTGGCTAAGTCGATGCGAACGCTTCGCTTCGTAATGCCGGGATGCCAGGTTCGATCCCAGCTGCGGGCAATGCGCCTTGCGTTGGTTTAGACAGTGGTATCAAGAAAGCCGACCGTCCAGCAAGCAATGGCAAACTACTGGATGTAAATTGCCTAGAGAAACCACACAACAGCCAGGGGCTGTTAGGGTTGGTTCTGCAACGTCCTGTAAAGGATACGCAACTAAAAAAAAAAAAAAAAAAAGTTATTCTCTATTCACTTTTCTTCTTCTTTTTTATATTCACAAGATGTAAACTCTGGCAGAAAGTACTGGTTGCTCATCCACTATCATCAACTATGGTCTTGTTCCAGTGTTGCATGAACAAGAACCTTCGTTACACAGATCTGGCTTATTATCATGAACAAGAACATTCGTTACACAGATTTGGCTTATTTTAATGAACAAGAACATTCGTTACACAGATCTGGCTTATTTTAATGAACAAGAACATTCGTTACACAGATCTATCTTATTATCATGAACAAGAACATTCGTTACACAGATCTAGCTTATTATCATGAACAAGAACATTCGTTACACAGATCTGGCTTATTTATGCACAAACAAAGAATTTGGTGGTGATGATCATCACTAAGTCTTTCTACCAAACCTTCTCTATACTCCCAATGCCAGGATTAGACAATGGATGGAATAAACAAGGTTTATTTTTCTTCTTCATCTTCTTTGAATTTACTGGCTGCAGAGTCCGCCAGGAAGTCCTGGTTGTTCGTCCACTTCTAAACTTTGCTCTTTTTCTTCCTCAACTGACACATACAGGTAAGATGGGAAGATGATGGCATTTTCTTCCTTAATCGACACATACAGGTAAGATGGGAAGATGATGGCATTTTCTTTCCTAATCGACACATACAGGTAAGATGGGAAGATGATGGCATTTTCTTCATTAAGAGACACATACTGGTATGATGAGAGAATAACAGCATTTTCTTTCTCGATCGACACATACAGAATACACTTAGATGACAAAATCTTGAAGTTTTACCTTCTCTGCGGCATCTGGATCGTTCCTGTTTTTGTCTGGATGAAACTTGAGAGCCATCTATCAACAAATATGCACACAAAAAGTTATTAAACCAAAACATTGTGTGTGTATATTTCAGAAGGTCGGCTCTGTGGCTAAGTTGATGCAAATGCTTCGTAAAGCCGGGATACCAGGTTTGATCCCAACTGAGGGCCATGCGCCTTGCGTTGGTTTCAACAGTGGTTTCAAAGAAGCCGACCATCCAGAAAGCAATGGCAAACAACTGGATGAAAATTTGCCTAGAAAAACCCATACAACAGCCAGGTGCTGTTGAGGTTGGTTCTGCAACGTCCTGTAAAGGATACGCAACTAACCTATATTTCAGAAGAACCAATCAAGATATACACAGAAATCCAAAAACTCAAGCAAGTAAAAGACTCCAAGTATCCAGGGAGCACAATTTCATTCAGTGGAAGAATTTATGCAGAGATAGAACACAGTTGTAGTAAAGCAAATCAAATCATTGGACAAATGTCAACAATTTTGCAGAACAAACATGTAACAACTGAAAAAACTAGAGCATTACTGAGTACAGTAGTATTACCAACATTCTGTTATCAGTGCCAAACACAGACATTAACAAAAGATATCAACAACAAAAATCGAAACAGAAATGAAATGTCTACGCCAAATCCTAAATGTATATAGAAGAGACAGAATCAGAAATGACAATATCAGGAAATCAGTTTTGAAGCAGCAGTATTAAACTATATCAAGAGACAACAGATCAAATGGTTTGGTCATGTGTCAAGACTACCACCAGACAGCGCACAGCAGAGAGCCCTGTTACTTAAGACATAATGGAAGCAGAACCAGAGGTTGACCATGCAAGTTATGGATAGATGGAATATCATTATCATTATATGCCAACTGGCATAGGCGCTCATGCGTCTCCACAGATCACGATCCCTGGTTGACTGGAACAGCTATCTTGATGATATCCCTCCATGCCATCATTTTAGCCCATCCAGGGTCATTTCTCTTGGTCTGCCTCTGCCTGTATTTCTACTGATCTTTCCAGTTGTCAGAAATCTCATTAGATGGAATATCCGAGGCCATAAATACCAGCATCTACATAGGACATACCAAGGCTCTCACCTGAAGGCTCTTCAAAACCTGACACTGAAAGACAATACAGGACAAGAGAAGAGGAAGAAGAAGTATGTATCTATGTGTGTGTGTAAAGGGGCTACAAATAAAAACCTCAAAAACATGACAGAAATTATAATAACCAGGCCACTGTGCTGTAATCTGTCAATATTATTGTTAAGAATGTCAAGAGTGTCAAGCATGTGACACCACGGGCCCAGATGAACACGGTGATGTCAAAATGAGTTTTTAAGGTGAGTGCCCCACTTTTGACATGCACCCTTAATTTGTGTGTGTGTGTGTGTGTACACAGAGAGGTTGTGTGAGGGAGGATAAAGTTTTCACTTAAATAAGGCAGATGCAGACTTTCGCAAAGGTGGACACAAGACAATGAAGTTGCACTGGCTATGAAAGTAACACAGGGCTGGAGAACTGGCTAAAGAAAGAGAGACTTTCATCTGCAAGGTGACAAGAGAGAGAGAATTATATTCTGTAAAGGACCTGCTGACTGATGATGACATTTTTTACCCACAAATATATTCCTATTAGCTTTTTGTGGTTTGAGACAACTGCTAATCCTGTGGGTGATTCTAATGCCCCAAACTTGCACCACAGGTTACCATAGCCCCCTGGAACATTCCAGCAACCTCCAATGAGAGATATAACCCACTCTAGGAAACCAACTCATGCCAAGTAATTATATTCTTTGCCATCCCATGTCCTCCTTATCTTTTTTCATTTCCCTCCTCCGTGTGTGTGTGTGTGTGGGCGGGGGGGGGGGGGGGGGGGGGGGTGCCTGTGTGCTTTGGGGAGTGGGGGATCTGTCTTTATTATCTGGCATAGTTAATAATCGGAGGGGGAGGGGGGCAACACTGATATATGCACATACTTTTCTGTAAGCCTTTTTGATTTCATCATTTGTAGCTCCCTTCTTAATCCCCAACAGTTCATACAGGGAGTTTCCGGAGCGTCTGGAGAGATTAAAAGCCATAGAATTAGTGAATAATCATGACCAAAAATGAAACAAATCCTATAATTGCAATGCTACAGCCATATTAACCCTTTCGCTGCTACACACTCCGCCAGCCACGGTTACCACTGTGCTAAGATAGTTTCCCGCTGATCCTTCCCCGTATGTTGAATACTTTTCTATCCCCCAAATGCAAAAGATGCGTCGGCGGTGCTGGCTATATTTTGTACACCTAAACATTCACCCTAGGAAAGTGGTTGGTTGGACAGAGTGTTGACAGGTCAGGCGCACTTTGCCGACGCCAAAAAACCTTGTCTATTCAGAAAGAAAACACAAGAAATTAGGTTTCATAAATAATTGCCCCGCTTCACTAGGGATAGTAAAAGAAAATGTATCCTCGACTAACTCTACTTTATCTTTTTCTCCACCGCTTCTGTTTACGTAGTAGAAAAAACTCCATGGTGGAGGGAACAAAAAACTTTAGCTTTCTGATCATCAGCACGTACGTTCTTTGAAAGTTTTAACCGCTTTACATTCCTTGCAGGTGGATATTGCAAGACTGTTTCTACTTCATCGTCATCTCAACCGTTGCCATGTGTTCAGTCATTGCTTTGAATTCCCAGGCCCGTTCCATCACCCCACAAACTTTACCAGGTGGAAGGGGGGAAGAAAGAACTGGTCTAGGAGAATCCTAGCACTTAATCCCAATCCGTGACTTGTTAATTACAATTTGCACTCAAGGCAATTCCCCCCAAATTTTATCCCAAAATCGACCACTTCAATCATAATTAATTGCATTCCACGTGTTACTACTTTTTTTTTTTCAAAATAAATAATTCATATTCTGGTGATTCTTGCCGAAAGTTATAAGAACTGAAGTTTCAAATTTACACTTTAAAACAAAAAAGAAACAGGATGCAATGGCTGGGGCATATAGGGAGAACAGCAGACAAGAGAGGCAAAAACTGTTTAAACAGAAGAGTCTAATGGTAGTAGCTGACCAGAGACTTTCAACTGACGGCCCATGGGCCAAATCTGGCCTGGATAGGGCTGGTATGTGGGCCACGGATCATCTACCAATTGTATTATTGGTTCTTCTAAACTGGGGCTTGAGACTCTGGCCGACGGTAATCCCCATTTTCCCAACATTTTTAATGGCCCTGCAGCAGAATATGAGGCAGACCAAGAAGATACAGGCAGGTTTACCAACACTTGGAGTCACCAACTGGAAAGAGAAGGCCAATCTTTGAGATGAATGGAGGTGGGTGAACCTCACGGGTATGGAATCCTGAAGAAGCTTATAAGCAAAATGCAAGATGATGCTGATAAATAATCAGGTGTGGAATATATCTTCTAAAGATTTTCTTACAATATGTTATAGGGTTTCAATCACATGGCAGGTTGGTATGAATAAGAATGATAAGATAAAAAGCAAATGTAGAGGTAAGAATTTTAAAGAAGATGGAGACGACATCAACTAAAGTCATTTTCTGCCTTGTGAAAGACAAGTAAAATTGGAAATACCCAATATTATTCAAAGTTGTTAAGTTTCTCAGGAATAAATTATTTTACTTCCTTGACCTTGTTGTTCACTTTGACAAGAATCAGAATGCTGTTTCTATATATTCCCCTCCTATATTAATAATTGTGTTGTTAACATCGAAAAATGCATACCCAGACACACAGATAAATTAAATACTTTAATTAGTAATCCAAATGTCACATTGAGTTGACTGAAAAGGCAGTGACATAAAGACAATTTAAAGCAATAATTCCCTGTTGAAAATTTGAACAAAGAAGACACAAACAATAGACTGAACAATTTATTGCCTGGTATATTTCACTGTATCTGGTCAGGTGCTTACTACAGTAACTATTACATAAATGAAGCAAATAAGTTATTGAGTTATGAAGTTATAAAGACAATTTATCACAAAATCAAAAAAAGTTAATTACAGTCAGTACTTTTGGGAACCGGACAGAAGAAAGAAACAGTTAAAGGACAGAAAAAAGAAACAGTTAAAGGACAGAAGAAAGAATAAAGAAAGTTAAAGGACAGAATCAGAAGAAAGAAACGGTTAAACACTACTAGGGTACTCCAACAGGTACATGTCATGCTGTAACAATTTTTTGTAACATTATGCCATTATGGACGTTTTTTTTTTTATGAGGATTCTAATTCTTGACAGCCATTTGCCATGATAATGAAATACATGGAGGCAAGTTAGCTGTAGTATAAAGGCATGATCGTCCATGCCAGTCGGCAAGCCACAAGGCATGTGACGATGATTCACAGACAGAAATGTCAACTTAATCAACAGGGAACCATTTCATTAAAATACTAGCTTGATACATTTATTGTACATTTACAATGATCCCCTACTTCTTTATATTCACATGTATATTTCCACGTTAATTTCCATTTCCACTTTTTTCTGCAACACACGAAGTCCAATAACTGGGTGTAAATTATTGGAAATTTAAAGTTTAATTAATTATTGACAGCAAGGCCAAGAAGAGGGTAGACATACATCGATATAATAAGTGAGTGGGGAATAACAGCAGTAACAGGTGGACAAACAGCAGCTGAGACAGTGCAGATTTACTAAAACATTTATAACATCAAATGCGAAAGACAGCTAGAGATCGATGATCAAAGACACACTTAGCCACTAAAACTTCACTGTGGAGATGGCACCTGATAAAGACTGATTTTTTTTCTCTCTCAAATTTTCAAACTCCACTATTTTACTTACGAGTATGAACGATTTCTGCCCGTCATTTCTGCTATCCTATATTAACAGCAGTTGGAATGTCCTGGCAGAAGCACGGGTGTATAGCGACACCACCCTACAAAAACACATGAGTTATTTCTATGAAACAAGTCTTCCTGGTCCGAAGTTTAGCACAGACATGATGATCCTGTTGTGTGCAGACATGATGGAGGTAAGTCTAACTTCCCAGCTGTGGGTGCGGTCCAGTACACGAAACAAAGCAAATTCCACCAAAATTACTATTTCTTCTTCTTCTTCTTCTTCTTCTTCTTCTTCTTTCTTCTTCTTCTTCTTTTTCTTCTTCTTCTTCTATTTCTACTTCTTCTTTTTCTTCTTCTTCTTTTTCTCTTTTTTTTTATAGTCTTCATGACTTCAGCTTCTTCTTCTTTTCCTTTTCTTTTTTCTGCTACTTCTTTTAGTCTTCACTTCACTTCTTCTTTTCTTCTTCTTCTTCTTTCTTCTTCTTCTTCTTCTACTATTGCTGCTGCTGTTGTTTTTCTTTCTCCACCTCCTCCTCCTTCTTCTTCCCTCCTCCGCTTGTCAGGCAACAATTTACCAGCAAGTTGTGCAGAACCAGCCAGTCTATCTGTTTGTCATTTCCCAATACACCGGCATTCCTGCAGGAAATATACAAAGAACACTAACTACCCGGGACCTCTGAAGCGATGCTTGCCACTCTGCACGCAGCATACTGGTCTCCACTTTTCTCAACATGCTGACTGAGTCGGTTACAGTTACGACATGTGTGTACAGCTGATTCTCAAGCCAGCTTGATGAAGCTAAATTTTGTGAAAGAAACTAACCTGGCTAGTAACTAAGGCGAGAAAATACGAAATGGCTAAAACTATAGTGTATTTTATATAGGATACTAGCTCTAGGGCTGGGTCAATCTGGAAGCTAGGGTCATTTCTGTCCCCAAAAGTCCGGCTCCGTCGGGATTTGCACCCATGGCTTTCAGATCCGTAGGCGAGCGTCTGGCCACTTCACCACGGTGGCTCTCTTAAGTGTGTGTATGTAGGAATATACATATACATGCGTGTGTATGCAAACACGTCTACATGCATTTCCCCGTGGGCGTGCACACGTGTGTTTATGTGTGTATATATATATATATATATATATATATATATGTGTGTGTGTGTGTGTGTGTGTGTGTGTGTGTGTGTGTGTGTGTGTAATTGTACATGTATGTTTATATGTGTGTATATTAGGACTGTACCGAAAAGCAGATACAAATTAGAATTTTGAGATCATGCATCTTTCATGTGGCTACATAGAGATGTTAGTCGTGGACGATCTCTCAGTCCTTAAGAAAGAGAATAGGGGCTTTTTAGCTGAAATGCTATAGAAAGATTCTCAGAATATCTTGGACAAAGAAGAGGATAAATATTGACATCTTAAAAGATCTGAACATCAAGGAAGATTAGCTAATATACAACATACTTTCTCGGAAGGAGGAAATATTTTTGTCATATCAAGCGCCACAACCGATTGGAAAAAATTATAACAGAAGGCATGGTACCAGGAAGGAGGGGCAGGGGCCGACCTACACAAAGATGGTCACAGGATATAAGTGACTCCTTGAGTATGAAAATACATGAAGCGGGAGAATTGGCGAGAGACCGAGTTTCTTTCAGGCAGATGTCATGAGAGTGACGTTCTTCAAAGAACCTGCTACATGATGATGATGACCGAATCTTGGCTTCGTATTCGCTTCGGGGCCGAATAGTGGACCTAATAACTATTCGGTATTCAGCCGAATACTTGCGGTCAGGCCGAATACAAACAGTGGTTACCTTACACCCGTTTCTGCATACACAGCGATAGTTTGTGTTGCTCAAGTCGCTTTCATGCATTAACTAAGCTGTCAGTGACAATTTACAAGTTTTGTTACTTGTTATAAAACTAAGAATACTTTCATTCCTTGGTATTAGTTACCACAGACTGACTGACTGAAGGTTGCAAAACATAAAATGTTTTTAAATGTTTACTATTCTGTACTACATTTTGTGAAGTAACATTTCAGCGTACATTTGACATTATGAATGTTTTTTTTTTTAAGATCTATTTTACATACTATACATTATTCGAAAGTGGAAGATGGGCCTCAGTTTGAATAGTGGGAAGACAGAAGTAATAGTGGTATTTAAAAAAAAAATATTCCTAAATGTGTAATAACAGTCAATGGTGTTATTTTGGGACAAGTAGAAAAATTTAGGTATCTGGGCACATGGATACCATCAGATGGAAGATGCATTCCTGAAATAAGAAACGGAATAGGACAGGCAAAAACTGCATTTTATCAAATTAAGAACATCTTATGCAATATATCCTTGTCATTGAGAGTTAGAAAAATAATTCTTGCTTGCTTGCTTGCAGTTTTAACATATGGCTGTGAATCCTGGACAATCGGTAGGCAGGCCCAACAATTTCTTGAGGCCTCGGATATGTGGTTTTACAGAACAATTCCTAAAATACCTTGGACGGCCAAAAAGAGCAACCAAGAGGTTTTGAAAGAGACGGGAGCCCGAAGACAACTAATCACAGAAATCAGAAGGAGACAGTCATAATTTTTAGGCCATGTTACGAGAAGAGGGAAAATAGAACATGTTGTGACCACTGGAAATATCTGTGGAAGGAGGGATAGAGGAAGACAACGAGAGAAGATTCTTGACAGTCTTGTTGCATGGCATGGAGGTGTGTCAGCACACGAACTGATACATGCTGCAGGAGATCGCAGATTATGGAGAGGCATGATCGCCCACGCCAGTCGGCTAGACACCTGATGATGATGATGATGATGATGATGAGTGCAAGTAAGCAAAAGCTTTAGAATTTGGCAACACCAGTCTTTTACCAAATAAGTGAAATAGCAAAGTGACAACGTCAAGTAATTTAACTTCAACAACATGTTTAGATTCGAACAGTTTATTAACCTTTTGCCTTTCCCTTAGAATAGGTTGTAAAAAGAGAAGGAATGCCACATTTTTTTTTTCATTACTTACATTCCATTTAGTATTTCAGCTGTGTAGCACTTTTCCCTTTGTCTTGTTATTTTGAAGTTGGTTCACAGCTGTTTGAATTGATAACCATCTAGTTTTGCAATATGACAGAATTTTCAGTGGTGCCATCATTTACTGCTTTATAAAAGTTATTGTATTGCTGTAGGTCCCTTTAGGTCCACTTGGGTCCCCTTTTGTCCACGTGGGCCCCCTTGCGTCTATGTGGGTCCCCTTGTGTCCACGTGTCTCCCCTTGTGTCCCCGTATGTCCCCTTGTGTCCACGTGGGTCCTTCTTGTGTCCACGTAGGTCCCCTTTAGTCTACGTGGGACCCTTTGTGACCACGTGGGTCTCCTTGTATCCATGTGGGTCACCTTGTGTCCACATGGGTCCCGTTGTGTCCACGTGTGTCCCCTTGTGTCAACGTGTCCCTCCTTGTGTCCACGTGTGTCCCATTGTGTCAACGTGTCCCTCCTTGTGTCCACTTGTGTCAACGTGTCCCTCCTTGTGTCCCCTTGTGTCAACGTGTCCCTCCTTGTGTCCACGTGTGTCAACGTGTCCCTCCTTGTGTCCACGTGTCCCCCCTTGTGTCAACGTGTCCCTCCTTGTGTCCACGTGCTCCCCCCTCTTGTGTCCACTTGTCCCACTTGTGTTTACGTGGGTGTCTTGTGTCTGAGTGTGTCTCCTTGTGTCCACGTGGGCCTCCTTGTCCTTGTGTCCTAGTGGGCTTCCTTGTGTCCAAGTGGGTCCGTTTGTGTTCGCGTGGGTCACCTTGTGTTTGCGTGGGCCCTCTTGTGTCCAAGTGAGTCCCCTTGTGTCCAAGTGGGTCCCCTTGTGTCCTTGTGGGCCCAATTGTGTTCGCGTGGGTGCCCTTGTGTTCGCGTGGGTGCCCTTGTGTCCTAGTGGGCCCCTTGTGTCCAAGTGGGTCCCCTTGTGTCCTTGTGGGCCCACTTGTGTTCGCGTGGGTGCCCCTGTGTCCTAGTGGGCCCTCTTGTGTCCGTGGGCCCCCTTGTGCCCTAGTGGGCCCCTTGTGTCCAAGTGGGCCCCCTTGTGTTCGCGTGGGTGCCCTTGTGTCCACGTGTTTCCCCTTGTATCCATTTTTTTCCTTTCGTCTCTACGAGGCTATATTAGGTTCGAATCTGCATCATGGCGGATTTTATTGCTTAGTCTAAACTAAATGTAGGGATCAGCAAGGAAAGTAAAGTTGCAATATAATTCACATCGACAGTTCAACACCTTATCTCCGATGTACTATCCTTTTCTAACAGATCCTTTTTTATATTTTTTAAAACAATTTTCTGTATTTTTCCCCCTTTACTAACAGTAAAAGACACACACACACACACACATTCTCACACACACACTCAATGAAACAGAAAACAAAATTCCGTTCTATACCAGCACAATCCCAGTCTATAAGATAACATTGTCACGAATGCGCCGCCCTGTGTGCATGCATGCTAGTGTGTGTGTGTTACAGTTACGACATGTGTGTACAGCTGTTTCTCAAGCCAGCACGAGGAAGCTAAATTGTGTGAAAGAAACTAACCTGGGTAGAACTATAGAGTATATCATATAGAATACTATTACTCATTTAGGGATGAGTAATGAAGCTAGGGTCATTTCTGAAAAAAAAGTCCGGCTCCGTCGATATCTGCACCCTTGGCCTTCCGATCCGTAGGCGAGCGTCTGACCACTTCACCACGGTGGCTCTCTTGAGTGTGTGTATGTATATACATATACATGTGTGTGAATGCAAACACATATACATGCATTCCCTCGTGGGCGTGCTCATGTGTGTGTGTGTGTGTGTATATATATATATATATATATATATATATATATATATATATATATATATGTGTGTGTGTGTGTGTGTGTGTGTGTGTGTAACTATACATGCAACTATATGCTGCATACTTCCCCAAAATCCATCACCAGTTGTTAAAGTATCGGCCCAGGCCACTCGTTTAGTACAATATCCACTTTTTAGCCAACACATATGACA